CACATGTGTGCGTGTTATGTGTTCGTGTGTGTGTATGTGTGTGTTTGAGTGTGTATGTGTATATGTGTGTGTGTGTGTTTGTGTGTGTATGAGTGTGTATATTTGGGTGTGTGTGTGTGTCGCGTGCGTGTATATTGTTCGTACATGCATTTATGTAAAGCGCCTAGAGCTGTGTTTACACGGGAGTGGGCGCTATAGAAATGATCTTCATTATTATCATTATTATTATTATTTGTCAGGTATTGATGTGACCTTTCTATTAACGTAACACAGACAAGGGAAAAGACCATACATCTCACCTTGGTCAGGTTCCAACAAAGAGGTCGCCTGCCCTGTAGACAGACTAGACTTCAGTTTGCTTATTAAAGTCTTGTAAGAGGCGAGTCTCCTCTTTAAGACTTCAATCTCTACCTCATGGCCACTTGCACCCTGGAAAGAAAAATGCATCAAATTTTAAAGTTATGAAAACAAATTTCATCGAACACATGAGAACACCTTTTAAGTATACATGTATATCTTTCAACTTTTGAAAAGAGCCAGCCATTAAAATACAATTATGTTGGACAATATACGTCTAATCTAGTTCAAGAATCTTATAAAATCAGGGTAAACTCAAAAGAAAAATTACCATCACTCAAGACATGGTTAAATTAGAGCATCGAGTACCCCTCAATAAAAAGGTTGAGCAATAGCACATCTTTTTTTTTGGTTAAAAGGATAGGTAAAAGATATGTAGAAAAACATTTTTTCAGAATTGGTCAGAAATGACACTAGTTATCTGTGAAAACACACTGCACAACATATTTCTATTAAGCATCTTTCACTTCCTCTTAGCCTTAGTAAAAAACCAATCTCAAACTTGTTTGTTACATTATAAACTGAATCTCGATCACAAAAATATAATAAATATTGAGCACCCGAATAAGCATATTAGGTGATGATTTATAAAACAACTTCACAGTCTGAATGTATATTTAAAAAGTTGATTCACAAAATTTGTGTGAAATACCACATTAAAATATACACCTTTCTATATTTAGGGGAAAAAAAATTAATACAGAGCTATACTTTTAATTCATTCATGTAAACTGTTAAAAGAAAGAGTAAAAGAACCTGGACTTCAAGTCACTTACCTTGCCTTGTCTCAATTGCAAAATTGTTGCTTCTAGTTCTTCATTCAGCTTTTCAACTTCTTCCATCTGATATGTGGTCTCATCAAGCAATGCTGCTTTAGTCTGTAATTGCTTATAGTCATCATTTGAAACTGATAACATACTGTTGTCTTCCTCCTGGAAATACATAATATCCAAATTATGTCTTTTTTCTATAAAGTTTACAAGCTTAAGTATAATTATAAACCATTGGAATCCTTATATTTAAAAATAAAACAAAGAAAAGGTCAAGAGGAGGCCACATTCTCCTAGTGTCTCACATAGAGTTCTATAAAGTCTTTGGTTTTGTATTCCAACGCACATCAACAGAAACATTCATACGAGACATTCAGGTACCCTTACACTCACAGCTTATGGAAACGTATATGAGTATGTGTGCAAAGTGTAATCACATATGCTCAAGAACATCAAATACCCATATAAACACAGTTACTAGTAGCACACATGAGCATAACGCAAAGTGAACGCAAGTATACACAAAAACATATCACTCTGCACATATGCAATCACACACACACACATATACACACACACAACCAGGCAGAGAACACAGGAAATCGGTAAATAAAAGTCTTCATCCACCACAATAAATACCTTATCTTTCTCTCCTCTCATCACACTAAGGCATCCGCTGTTGCCAGCCCCCACCCCTCCTTAACGGTCACAGCTTCAGTTACTAGTTTGGGGGGGGGGGGGGGGGGGGGGGGAACCTATTTCATATGAGTTACATAAATTGCTAAAAATAGAAGAATGAGAATACTCTGTCTTTTTCCTCCTGTTCCCTTCTCCTCTTGGCGGAGTCGGGGGGAGAGAAAATAAACATACAGAAATAACAGAAGGCTAGAAAAGAAGTAGGGCCCACCAGCAGTGCCCTCTGACCAGCCTCCTGACCCAGCGCCCCACTCACCTGTGAAGTAGTTTCGTTGTGTGTGACACTGAGGGCTTGTCTCAGTTGTAGCTGAAGGTTCTCTACCTGGGACTGTAGAACCATCACTCTCTTCTGACAATCTTCCAGCTTCTGAGGCATCTTTTGTCTCTGGGCCGGGGTCAGCTCACCAGGGATCTGAACACATACATGGCAAGATTAGCTACAGACAAAAATACCCACACAAACATAATTTGACAGTTACGTCCTAACTTAGGATTCATAATCTACAATCACCACCCTATTCTGTTCAATGCTTGAGATGAATCTATGCACGACAAAAAGAAACAAACTGGTAATTGGACATCCTACAAATCATTTAAACAGGGAAATTTGATTCCTCATCAGGCAGAGAAATATACTCAACCAGAATATTTGTCTTTTGTGTAAGAGGGACGATAAAATCTTTCTCTAAATTCAAATATATAATAAACAAAACCATCACTTTGTACAGATGTTACTAATTGTTCAACCGCCTATAGAAAGGAGATAGTAAAGTAAGAATTCAGATAAAAATGAGTGCAGTGAAACAAAACCAACACTTTGTCCAGATTTTACTAATTCTTCAACAGATTATGGAAAAGAGATAGCAAAGTAACAATTCAGATCAAAATGAGTAAAGTAAAACAAGCGAGTTCCCTACCTGACCACCAATGCCCTCCAGCTCTTGTACACGATACTTGAGCTTGTTCTCCGAGCGCTGAAGAGTTGCCAGCTTGTCATTAGTAATCTCGCTGGTCTGCTCCAACTCTCTAATTCTGGCTTGACTGTCAATTTCTCGTAGCTCATATTCCCGTACTTTCTTTTGCAAGGAGCTCTCATTTTTCTGCAAGCTCTCAACGTGTTGTTTGTAGGCCAGCTCAGAGTCTCTGCTGGTCATTAGACGTCGGTCCAAGTCCTGAACCTGTTGTAAAGGGAAAATTAAACAGGCTACAGTATTTCGAAAACAAAAATGATCATACAACAGGGCTTATGAAGAACTAAATAACCAGTAAATGACACTGGTATGATACTGAACTAAAAAAGAACTGTTCAAAAACATCCAATGAAATAATAGCTCAACAACAAATAGAAAGAGGAGGAACACGCACATGAATAAACCATAACAGTAATAGAGAACTACATAAGACAGAGATGACACCCAACAACACTGTTCACTCATCTGTCTGATGAAGTAAGGTACATTAGTGAAGAAGGAACCTGTAATGGTACTTTCTATTAGCCTCCAACTTCAGATAGGTACTGATTCAACACACTCTTGGGGCCTATTGAAAATGAAATAATGAATAAGCTGACTTTTATTTAATGCAAATTTACTTCAAGTAGCATTTTTCAGTATTCCAAAATTAAAAAGGCGAGCATATGTGCACCTTACTCATTATAAAGATGATCCTTGGCCCCTACACTGACCAGTAAGCTACCCACCTGTCCATGCAGCTGAGTGACGTGCTGACTCAGCACTGCGTTCTCCTCCACTGCCCGCTGCAGACGCTGAGACAGATCCATGTTGATCACATCCAGCTCTGATGCTTTGCTCTGGGCAGCGGCCTCCGAGTTCTCCAAGTGGACAAGACGGTTCTGGAGAGTTACCTGTTGGTCAGAGGAAACGGTGAGTGTGACATCTCATGCAAAATACAAAGTACATAATTTGTACTTTTATTATTACAGTTGAAATATCAAGTGTTGTTTGTTTTGTTGTTTGTTTATTTAAGTAAAGAGAAGTCCATCGACACAATAATGGCCATTTCGTGCTGGGAAGAGTAAAATAGACGAATAGAAACAACAGAGGAAAAGTTGAGAAGTAGAACCTTCCTGTGGCACCCTCCAACCACCCGTTAAATGGTTGTCAACAATTACAGCTGATTATTCTATAATATTGAAATATCATAATAATACACACTAAACAGCCAAGTTCTGTCTGAACCATTCTTTTTCAGCTAAACAAGAAAAAACATGAAATTTGTAGGAATATACACAGCGATTCCTCACCTCATTATTCTCATAGTTCTTGACCCGCTGCAGCAGAGTGACCTCCACATTTTCCAGTTCTCTGATCCTGGCTTCCAGGTACTCTGCCCGCTCAGTGAGGCCACCTCTCTCCAGCTCCACATCCTGCAGCAAACGCTTCAGCTGCTGCTCATTGGCCGAGAGTTCTGCAACAGCTGTTTCCATGCCGCCAGACTTGCTCAGCCAGTGTTCTTCATCGAGCTTGAGTCTCCGCACCAGCTCTCGGAGCCGGCGTTCGTGGATCTCCAGTTCGTGAACCCTGTCCTCCATTTTGGTTCTGGTGGCCTCCAACTCCTCGCATTTGGCAAACAAAGAACTCTCAGAGGATTCCAGGCTGTTCACCTGATAGCAGATTGAGAGGACTTGTAAACTTAGAATAAGGAAATACACTGAGGAATGAGGACATGAAACAAAACAGCAATAGGAAATACAAGAGAGACAGAGATACACCAAAGGTACCAATGAGCGTAGAACTACTATCCATCCTAAGAGAGGCATAATCAATACAGCATTGGGTGTTTTATGTGTTTTCATTTAGATGCCTTACATAAAGTAAGCAAAACTTGATCTACTGACCTAAATCTATGACATACTTTCCTGTAATGATCTAGAAAATGGTAAAGAATTAAACAGATCAGCAGGAAGCCAGACCAAGAGAATTGAGTCTCTCTGAGTGTGGGCCAAGAGTATGGGTGCTTGTATATGATTGTGCAGAAGTGAGCACGTACACGCATGTATAACCTACCAATCAGTCACCTGTTAAGAATGCATGCAAACACAAGAGCAAGTGCATGTGAGAATTACAACTTTTTAAAATGTCTTTGAAAACATGTCTCTATAGGAGTGTGAGAGCGTAGGATTGAAAAAGAAAAAACGGAAAGCAAGTTTGGTGATGTTTAAGTGAGTATGCAAGTGTATGAGCCTATGTCCAGTGTGTATGTGTGTGTGCGGGTGTGTGTGT